TAATATAAACATACTAATATGAAATCTCGTGCAACTATATATATATATATAAATACGCATACACTCTTTATGAAAATAGAGTACTTTCTGTGGAGGTCTCTTTCTTACTTTCTTGACTCTCTTTCTTTCTCTTGAGTCTCTTTTGACTCTCTTTCTTTCTCTTGAGTCTCTTTTGACTCTCTTTCTTTCTCTTGAGTCTCTATTGAATCTCTTCTTTCTCTATACTCGTAGACGGCTTAGGGTTTCACCAAAGCGTGAATTACCCCATTGGGAACGGCATAAATCTGACCCAATATCTCCTACCGTCTACGTAACCAATCTCGTAGTTCAAACTCTGTGGAATTAGGTATCGAACTATTAGTGTGCACACCCCCTAACCAGGATTCCAAGCCTGGCGGGTAGTTTCCAACCTCGTAACGTGGGAATACGCCGCATTACATATACTGGGACCGCAATGTCCATAAATATCTCCCGAGAGGACATAGTCCAAACGGTATCCTCCAAAACCTCACCAATATAGATAATACATAGATATATCGCTCATGCATCAATCTCATGCATGCAAACAACTCTACTACTTCTCAATGCATCAAAGAATGGTGTACCACATGCTTATGGTTTTTGAAAGTATTCTTGGGCTCACGTTGGCCCCTTATGCATTTTTGAAATATGACACATGTGAAATGTCAAAATGCTCTATAACATGCTTATAAATCATGTATGAAATAACATGAAGTGTTCAAAATATAATGCCATGCTCGATTTGCAAATAGGCAACTTCTTTACATTTCACTTCAACAAATATACTTCTATTCTCTTGGATCAAATAATACAATTTAATCATGCTATAATAGTGAATCACATTCTCAAATGATCATGCTTCTATACTTAATAAAATCATCAAACAGATCACAAAGATAACAATTCCTCATATGCAGTGCATAGCAAAATATATACTGTGTAGTATTTCTTCACAATTTCCTTCATAGCATACTCATTTTAGATCCAAATTCAACGAAGTCAAAGCCAAAACGTGCGTCGAGACGGTCCCGAAGAGCCGAGCCGCAAGGGCCTGTAACACTCGGCCCAAAACGACACGTAGCTGAGCCACAAGGGCCCGGCCACTGCACAGATTCTTCTCAGAATCAAAGTCAGGGACCTGGGGTGGAACTCCTCATGGTCCGCCCCTTGTACCCCGTTACTTCACCGGGACTAGGCGGCGGCCCTCCTCTAGGGTCGTACCCTAGTCCCATGCAAGCACGGGTCTAGCCGGCGGCCCTCCTGATGGGCCGCGGCTAGGGCCGTTAATCTGATCTGGTGCACACTGTGTTGTGCACCAGAAGGTTTTTCATCTGCAAAATCCAATCCAAACAAGTCCAAAACAATCTCAACAACTCACAAACAAATACTAAATCACTTCTAAGCATAAACACAACAAAATCTCATAGCTTCTACTCATTTCTACTCAATACGAAGGCTTCACAGAGCCAAATTTTAAAGAGGAATCCATGGGGTTATACCTCTTGTTGCATCTTCTTCTTGTTCTTCATCCTTGTGTGAACCTCAACCTCCATTCTACTCAACACCAAACCAATCACCATCTAGACACCACTAACAACAACACAAGCCAAACCTAACCAAACTCAGAGATTGAAGCAAATGAGGATGAAAACCTTAAAGGAAAAAGAATTGATGAGATTGGCCTAGGAACACTTACTGTGTTTTCCTTTGGTTTCTTGCTGAGCTGCTAGGTAGGGAAGATCAGGAAATTAAGGATGGAAGAGGTGAGTTTTATAGGGTCCAAAACCCTAGAAGATCTTCTTATGATTGGTTGATGAAAGGAACAATCTTATTGGCTCTCAATTAAAGCATCAGACAAAGGTGGAGGCTAGTGGTTCACCATACTCCATGGTCCTAAGGTTAGAAATGCTAACTTTGAATACTTTGGGGTTGAAAATGAATTTTCTCAAAAAGTTATTTAGATGAACCCTTGTTTAAATTCTTTTTGAATTCTCCCGGTCTCACTCAGATAAATTTCTCGATTTAAATCTTGGAACGCGAAGTACCCGAAAACTTAGAAATTTTCTAATAGAATCCATTTTTGGTGTCGAATTAATTTAAAATGTGACGAAAATATTTTATTCCAACACCGATTGTTCGCAAAAAATTTTAATGGAGTGAAAATGACTATTTTGAAATTTCTTAATACCGGATTTATAAAATAAAATTTTGGGTTGTTACATGTCTAGTATGGAGTTGAATTAGGGCATAGGAGTCAATCCAGTCCATCCCTAAAACCATGTCACACCCTCCCAATTTAAGGATCCTCAGATCTTTCTCAAATACCTCATTCTGGACCTGCCACTTCAATCCTCTGCAAACTGAATCACAAGCCATCTTTTTCCCATTTGCCACTGTAACCATAAGAGTTTTAGCCTTTTCAGGGGTAATCCTTAACTGATCAAGCACCTTGGGGTCTAGAAAACTATGTGTGCTACCACTATCCACCAATATAGTGACTAGTTGTTTGCTGATAATCCCCATTAGCTTAATAGTGATTATACCTTCCCCTCCAATTACAGCATTCAAGATCACCACTACCTCTTCTGTTTCTGGAGTTACTAGGGATTCAGACTCCTCATTTTGGTCCCCACTGAATTCCTCTTCATTTTCCTGGAAGTCAGTTCCTTCTATTATGTTGAAGGTTGAACTCTTGCATTTGTGCCCAGGGTTTCATGGTTCAAAACACCTAAAACACCTGTTTAGTTCCCTAAGCTGGTCTCTGAATATGTTGATTCCAGGGGTTCTAGCACTGGACTGGAGGGTATTTGAGGCTGAGTGTTTGGGTAAGGGTTGGTTAGTTTAAGGCTTAGAAGGTTTAGGGTTTCTGGGGTTATAAGGTCTGGAAAACTGTTGGGTTCTTTGGTCAGTGTTAGTTGGTTTCTAGGTAGAGTAGATGGTTGTTTTCTGAGAATCATTCACCTTCAACTAGGGGTGTGCAGTCGGACGGGTCGGACGGTTCGGATGGCGGAACTAGTCCTCTGATCGGATTTCAGATTTCAATGTTGACTACCCTATCCGATTTATTTTGTTGACTTATTTGTTCGGTTATTTGTATGTTCGGGTAGGAACGGTTCGGTCGGATATCCGGTTGGTATTTCGGTTTTATGACAATGTACAAATCAAATAATCATTTCATGGAACACTTAACTAATTAACTACTTAAGTACTAGCCCCTAACTAGTAATTAGTAACTACTTAACAGCAAAAATAACATAAGTAAACTTATAAAACTTTAAACATAAAATCAAATTTACAAAATTACAAGTTAGAACTTAGAACTTAGAAGCTAGAACTGAAACTTCAAAACATACAAATTTACATATTAGCTTACAACTTTAAAACTTTTAATGAGAAGTTCAATTCTTCATAGCAAAATATAACAATCAACAAGACAACAATTCAGCAATCAGCATCATTCTCCAATCTCCAAGCAGGCAAGCATGCAGCAACATCATTCTCCAATCAGCACATCAGCATTCAGCTTTCATGTTTCAGCCATTGAGCAAAAGAAAACCAGAAATCCAAAACTCCAAAAGTAATATATGATTTATATAATATAGAGTACTCTATGTCTCTAATCTCTATTAGTCTATTCTTCTTCCTGATAAGTGAAGACATAAAAACAGAATAGTTCAAAACATTTCATAACTTACTGCCATTCAATATTGGAACAATGGATTGACACAAACTGTAAAAGACTAAAAGAGTGCTCAGATAGCTTTTTTTCCATATCAAGTTAGGATTGGGGGCACACTACTCAATGAGTATGGCATAAACACCACACTTCATAGGCAACATACCAAACCCAATTCTATATATTCAGAGAAGGTGGAAGCATCATCATTGCACAATAATACTTATACTGGAACAATTAATGGATTATATTTAAATAGCAAAGACTCAAAGAGTGCTCAGATAGCTTTTTTTTCATATCAATTTAGGATTGGGGGAACACTACTCAATGAGTATGGCATAAACACCACACTTCACAGGCAACATACCAAAGTAACCAAACCCAATTCTATATATTCAGAGAACATGGTAGAAGCATCATCATTGCACAATAATGAATATTTATACAGTTATAAGTATAGTGAGTCAGAAGTCAGAAGTCACAAGTCACATTTAGTCAATACTTATACTGATACCTGAGCTCAATGGCAGCAACATTTAAAATGTCACCTAGCCATGAGCACTTTCCAGTTCCAGTTCCCACTTCCCAGCCTCATGAGGGACATTGATTTAAATCATTGATAATTTGATACACATACATGATACACTGATACAGGGGCGTAAATTTATCATGAAATCAAATAAGTAATCACAAATTCAGAATAAGAATTCATAAAAGAAAATAAATATGTAAACTGTAAACATACAAGAATTGTAGGCAATCCAACTCCAGTGCTGGATGTGCTGCACAACTCTGCAGTACAAATACAAAATGGAAATTAAAACTTAAACATATAGTTTATAAACAATTAAACAAATACAAAATGGAAGTTAGAAGTATATAGCTTTTTCAATCCTTTCAACATCATCAATATTTTCTTCAATAGAGATTGCTTGATTGGTTAACCTTAGCCAATCCTGTGCACACACCAATGCCTCAACAATTCTAGGAGTTAGGGAACTGCTAAAGGCATCAAGTACCCTTCCACTTGTACCGAATGCTGATTCTGAAGCAACAGTTGATATTGGAACAGCTAGAATATCCCTTGCCATCTTAGATAAGACAGGGAACCTTTTAGATTGCTGCTTCCACCATCTTAGAAGGTCAAAAGAATCATCCTCATCCACAATAACCTCAGAGAGAAACACTTCCAACTCAGTTTTTTTCCTAGACAAATCCCCACTCACTAATTTTTGCTTCTTAATATGAGATTTTAGTAATGATTGAGGTCTCCCAACAGAAACAGAATCAGATATTGTTATTGAGGGAGAAGATTTGTCAGAATGTTCAACAGACTGGAGGGAAGCATGCAACATAATCTTCAAACAACTCCTTAAGGCCAACAATAACCTTATCAAACATTGTTTTACCCTTGTCCTCACCATATAACTGGTTAAACTGAATGGGCATATATTCAATTTTGTCCCTGGGGTCTAAGATATTTGCATAGAATATCAAAAAATTCATTTTTTTCAGGCTCACCCCAATACTTATCAAATTTTTCCCTCATATTTTTACCCATCAGTTTAACACTATCTTCTGTAGCTTCCTCCATATTTTTCAACAAGCAAGACAAATCAGAAATCTCATAGAAGAAGGTATTAGAAGTCACATACAATGATCCAGAAATCCTAACAGTCATTTCATAAAAAGATTTCAGAATCATAACCAAAGATTGAATGGATTCCCAATCTAAGAAATCAGGTACACTTCCACCCAAATCAGATTTAAATGAACTGTCATGATCATCAAAGGCTTCAAATACCTTCTGAAACAATAATGCAGTATTAAGCATCATATATGTGGAATTCCACCTTGTAGGGACATCTAGACACAGAGAATTCTTAGCTTCCACCCCAATTAGATCAGCTAGTGATTTAAACTTCTGCAACCTAGCAGGTGAGCTCCTCACATACCTAACAGCATCCCTGACTTTCTTAACAGAACTGTCACATTCTTTCAACCCATCCTGTACCACCAAGTTAAGAATGTGAGCAATGCACATCATGTGCAAATACTTACACCTAACAGCAGTACAACCCCAAGAGACCAACTTCTTCTTCAAGAATCCTAGGGCAGTGTCATTGCTGGAAGCATTATCTACTGTCACACTAAACACTGATTTTAGACCCCAATCCAAAAGGCAACTCTCTAAAGCCTTTGCAATACTTTCCCCCTTGTGGGAATATATAGGAACAAATGAAATAATTTTCTTTTGCAACTTCCACTCACTATCAATGAAATGTGCAGTTATGCACATGTAGTTTATTCTCTGGACTGAGGTCCAAGTATCAGTTGTGATACTTACCCTCTAACTGCTAGTCCTAAAAAACTTCTTCAAGTTCACCCTCTCATCAGAAAATATCTTGAAAATGTCCCTACTGATAGTCCATCTTGAAGGGATTTTAAACCTAGGACAGCAAACTAAAACAAACTTTCTAAAACCCTGTCCTTCAACAATCCAAAAAGGAAGTTCATCTAAAATAATCATCTCAGCTAAGGCTCTCCTTATCAAGTCTTGATCAAACACCCAAGTACCCAACACCCCTTCAGTTCCTTCACTACTTTGAGTTCCAGCAGAAGAAGGTGCAGGTTGGAATGTAAGTAAGGACTGCCTTGTCTCCTTAGAGTGAGGATTTTTAAGGCAGTTTACAATGTGAGTCCTCAGAGAAGAAGTCTCATGTTTCTTGGTCTCACAGCAATACACTTTTGCACAATATATATAGTCTCTACAGCGGGTGCTTCCAACTCAGGTTGGATTCCAGATACACCAGTAAGACCACTAACACTTTCCATCTAAAAAGGGGGAAGTATCAGTGACACAGAATGGGAAATCACTCATTGAAAATCATCAACAGAGAATGGGCTTTGTCACATGTATCAATTAATTAAAGTGTTAAACAGGCATAATTCAGTTAATTGAACATTTCATCATGTATGCAGAATTGCACATAAATGATTTAAGGGTCACATATCCATAAACTTACAATTTCACATTTTCAAAACTTACAACTTACAAATTACAATTTACAATGAAATCCATAATCAGGCATTCAAGCTAAGTAGATGTATGCTACTTTATATGCTCATCATTTATATGGATTTCAGTCACACATGAGTACATGACACACTCCCACATTTATATGGATTCCACAAGAATACCAACATGCTTAACATTTATATGGATTTCAGTATTTCACACACAGTTCCACACTTCCACAGTGGCAAGGGGCTAGGGTAATATGGCTTCCACCACAGATTAGGTTACAAATTAGAAACTCTAATCATAGAATTCAGAAATTCACACTCAAAGGACTAGTGACATGCAATCCGGAACTTCTCAACAGATTTACAAGTATCATAGTCCAGTGAGACCACAGATTAGGTTACAAATTAGAAACCCTAATCACAGAATTCAGAAATACACACTCAAAGAGTCAAATGACTAGTGACATGCAATCCGGAACTTCTCAACAGATTTACAAGTATCACAGTCCACATAATCATAACAAATTAGAAACCCTAACCACAGAATTCAGAAATTCACACTCAAAGGACTAGTGACATGCAATCCGGAACTTCTCAACAGATTTACAAGTATCACAGTCCACATAATCATAACAAATTAGAAACCCTAATCAATAAGACAAATACACAATAATCTATAACGAAAATGTAAATAGGGTTTAGTAATTACTTCGTTTCTCAAAATTAATCCCTCGAGAACAAAGGGCTTCGAATCCACTATTCCACTGTTCCACAGTTCCACCGGAGTCCGGTGACTGGACTAGGGTCTAGGGCTTCCACCACTCCGCCAGACTAGTCGCTAGTCGCTACTCTGAGTCTCCGATAGGGCTTCACCAGACTACAACTGTGAGTGTCTAACAAACTGAGAGAATTAGACTGAGAGAGTGAGAGAACTCAGAGAGTCAGAGTCTTAGAGAGTAAGACTCAAAATCTCAAAGACCAGAGCGAAAGAGAGAACGAGAGATGAGAGATGAGAGATTGAGAGAAGTCTAGAAGAGTGAAATGGGAGCTCGGCTGCGCTGAATGAAATGGGTAATATATATATATATATATATATATATATATATATATATATATATATATATATATATATATATATATATATATATAAACCAAACGACGTCGTATTACATAGGGTAAAAAAACCTAGGGTTTTATCGGATGTTCGGACGGGTTCGGGTGGCGTTTACTGCCTCCCACCCGAACCCCTTGCATCCGTCTTGTAGCGTAGCATCGGATCGGGTAGGGGTGTTCGGATACGGTTCGCTCCACGGACTCGCCCGTCGGGTTTCGGGTCGGGCGGGTGGGTCGGATTTCTCGGGTTATGCACACCCCTACCTTCAACCCCTTTTCATATTGTCTTGCTAACCATATTGCATCTTCTAGGTTGCCAGGCCTAGATGTCCTAACAAAACATCTCAGTTGTTGTTTCAACCTCACCACAAAACTATCCAAGAAATATTGCTCAGTCAAGTAAGGATAAATCTGCAATAACAAGCCTTTGTATTCTTCATATTTATCAGCAAAGTCCACCACATTTCCCCATTGTTTAAAGGTGGAAAACTCCTCCATAACATCAACATTGTTCTCACAAAATCTTTTACACACAGCCCTTGCAAATTCAACCCACTGGAAGCCTCTCCTTAACCCATTTAGGTACCCTTCAAACCAAACTCTCACCTTACTAGTTAGGTTCACACACAGAATATGCATAACCTCATCTCTAGGGATTTTAGCTAGCATAAAGAATATCTCACACCTTTCTACCCACAGTCTAGGGTGTTCATAATCAAAGATAGCAAATTCTTGCTTATACCTCATGAAGTGATCACCTCCCCGATTATAGTGCAAGTTTCTGACATTTGGATTGGCTCTCTAAGGTGACCAAGGTCTCTCTTCACCTCTGGGGTCCTCTTGGAAGGTAGGCAAGTTCTTTGCTTGATCTTCATCACCCTCAGAAACTTCCTGGATTTCATCATTGCCTTCCACAGCTGGTTCTTTTCCTGCCCTTCTTCCAAGGCCAGAGACCCCTTCACCAGGGCTTGGATGTGGTGTGTGAGTTTGACCCTGGACTGAGGATGGGTTTGTGACAGGTGGGGATGGTTTATTCAATCTCAGCAGCTCAAGGATCTCATTTTTCCAAGCTTCCATGTGGTTCTTAAGCTCCTGGACAGAATCCTCCACAGTTTGTAGTCATGTGGCATGCCGGCTCCCTTGCTCCATCACTTGAGCCTCCAATCGACTCATCCTATCCTCCATTGAAGCAGCAGATGGAGTTCCCATGGAGGGCTCTGATACCAAAATGTCACAGACTAGGGTTTCTAGCAGAAATGCAGTAAGAAATCTGGGAAAGAGAGAAGAAAGGGTAGGGAATTCTGAGAGAAATGGGGATAGGGAAACTAGGGTTTGATTGAATCTTCCAAAAAGATAACCTCTGTCTGAACAAAAACATCAAATATAAAAGACAAAGTGAGCTAATACATCCAAAAATTATCCTAACAAACTCTGGATTTCATGCTCAGCAGCTTCCTCTCCAGCCAAGCACAAAATGTCATCGTATAAAGTGGTCGTTCAACTTCCAAGCTTCAAACGGCGTCGCTTCCTCTTATTTAAAACGACCTTCAACGTCCCAGCTTCCAACAACGTCGTTCTGCTTAGTAATAACGGCTAATAACATCCCGAATACAAACGACGTCGTCTGGGTCCTTCGACTTTCTCAACACTTAGTTTTTGGAAGCAACCCCTTCTGCCCTCTTGAACCTCATCTCAGCAACCTTTTCTTCCTCTCCACTTGCCATGATCATTACATATATATATATATATATATATATATATATATATATATATATATATATATATATATATATATGTATATATATATATGTGTGTGTGTGTATATATATATACATATATATATATATATATATATATATATATATATATATATATATATATATATATACACATACATATGGGTGGCCCTAATAGCAATAAGCTCCTATTAAGGGAAGAAGTGAGAATATAAAGAACACATCTATTACATAAGCTAAGGCACTACTCGATGCCAAGTTGAAGGTCACACCCATAAAACGATTTACGCAATGATTAAGACCATAGAAGATCCTACATAGAAGACTCACTAGACAAAACCTCAGCAAGGTTTTATGAAGATGAATATAGATGCTGCAATTGACAAGCAACATGCCAAGTTGGGGTTTGGTTGTGTCTTGAGGGATGACCTTGGCCACTT